ACTGATGCAGCCACCCTATTTGTATGTTAATAATTATATATTTGGAATATTATTTTTGTTACATTATTTGATATGATTCTGCATTGTAAGAAATGACAACAAAAAGTCATGACAAATTGTCTTTACATTAACTTAACTTATAAAGTTGATCAGGTTTCCATTTAAGTTAAACACAATTTAACAATCTTTTAGGTCCGCTTAATTGATGCAAGATAAAATTATTTGTAAAGTTAAATTGGTTCAACTTAAAAATTTAAGTTAGCAGCCTATTATATTATTTATAGTGTATATTGTTAAATCTCCTAAAATCTGGGATCTGGCACTGGGTCTGTGACGTTATTTACTTTAAACTTTATTTATTTTAAATTTTACTTCATAACAAATTCTTTAAATTTTAAAGATCGATACTGGTCTAATACCCCCAGAACTTAAAAGGTATATTTTCAAATTTGAGTTTACAAAAAAAGCGCCTCTTTTTTTTAGGGAGGTTTATAATAACACAGATAACAAACTGTGTTTTATAAAAATTCAAAGTTTTTTTTTTTAAATGATACCAAACTTTTGCATTTACACCTCTGCATGTGGATTTGGGAAGCTTTTAATTTTGAATACCCCAAAATAGCACTTGACATTAAAGGAAATTGACGCTTATTCAACAAGGATGCATTAAATTTCCAAGACAATTTATTGACCAAAAAGTATAATAAAAAAGTAACATTGTGAAATTTTAAATATTACTGTAATTGAAAGCTGAATTATCACCACCATGATTTTCATAATTCATTTCAATATATCGATTTGCTCCTACATTAGAATCAATTATTGGTGTGCCATCATTAATAATAAAGAAGTCCTTAATATCATAAATGTTAAAAACTTGTTCAAACTGAATGTTTTTTTTTTTTTTGAATACCCTTACACATTTTACTTTTAGGAATGTCTTTGCAGTCACTTTTGTTCATATTAATTAGACCTTGACTGATAATTAAAAATAAAAGAACATTTATTTGCACAATACTGCTTTTTATTTTTTTTTTACAAAAAAGTAAACAATGTCTGCAGAAACAGATTGCACTTTATTATTATTATTATTATTATTATTATCATCATTATTTCATATGGGTGGCACAGTGGCTTAGTGGTCAGCGATGTTGCCTTACAGCAAGAAGGTCGCTGGTTCTGCTGTGGTGACCCCTGATAAATAAAGTGACTAAGCTGAAGGAAAATGAATGAATGAATAAATTATTTTACATGTGTACACAAAACTTTGATCTTGTTCTTACCTGGATTTATCATTTGATCAGATGTGGAAAATGCTACTAAAACATACTCGATGGTCCTTTAAAACAAAATAACTGTAAAAATCTATAACATCTAAAACATGTATGTGTAATATTTGCAGTAAACTTAAAATTCTAAATACATTTGATACCTTTTTTTTTTTTTTTTGCACTTTATCAGCATGACACTTTCCTCACCAAAATATGATCACACATGGTCAGAGGAGGTGCAAACATGAGAAAATCTGTCATGGCTGACCACTTGTGATCTTATTATCCAAGACGGATGTTAATACCAGGTGTAAACAGAGTAAACACGATAAGCTTCCAGAAATAGCTGCGAAATGAAATCTGCCACTCTGCTCGACTGAAGTGACATGCACTAATGAGTGAGCGACCTCCCACAGCACTGCAGAGGGTGAAAATGCACTGTGGCCAGGAGCAGTCTTATTTTAGCAGCTACAAATACCACGAGGTCATGTTGACACTGTCAGTTATCACAAACAGTGCTTTTAGGAAAATCGCAAATGCAATTACCAATGCAAGAAAAATCACGTCAATAAACAGCTTAATTCGATCTGCTGAATGAATAAAATCTCTATAATTACTTAAATCCATTTTGGGTATTTCATGTTAAAGAGCATGAGAAAAATATACTGCACTACAATAGAGATTTGTGTGTGAAGAAGACTATAAAGATCAAAGATTCATGGTAGGAGTAATACAGCTTTAAAAGAATTCACCTTGATTAAATTCTTGTAAAGAGTTGAGATTACATTTCGTGGTCATTACTTTATGAGCAGTTCATGTTTAAATAGAGAGCGCTTCTCGGGTTCTCTAAATTTGATATACTCTACATTTTGATGAATTTACACCTAGATTGATTGTTCTATTGTAAGTTATTATTTGTGCTCAATAATTAAATGTGCAGTATGTAAGTTTAACACTCAGTGGTTGACCTAGGTATTGCACTCCTGGTTCAAAACATATGCAACCACAGGTTGCCAGATTGAGGACATCAACAGAAGCGTGCCAGACTGTCGAGCCTAATGGCTGATTTAAATCATGTTCTAAATAAAAGCAAAGGCACGCGATAATAAATTCAAATCAAAAGGAGATTTTGTTCTAACCAACATCTGAAATATATATTTTAGCTATTTCTTGCAGCTAAACGACAGGATAAACTGACAATGACCATCTCAGGTAGACCTCATGTGCTTCATTCAGTGTTAAATGCTAATAATGTCAGTTTGAATGGCATTTTACATGACAAATCCTGCCATACTACTGAAAGCAGCAGCAGATGGTTTACTTCAGATCTTGAAATTAAAATAAACTGTTGGAAATTGAACTGTGGCTTAGTGCAAGCCAATACATATCAGTGATCAGCATGTACATTTAATAGTGTTAAAGAGCTTTAATATGTATAAATTAGATTATAAACCTTATCATTTCGTTGGAGTGCAGTAAGTGCACATATATTCTGTGCTTCTGAATGACTGTTTTTTAATTTCTCTCGTGTTTCTTCTTCTGATGCAAACAGCCAAATTGCTTATTACTGCAAATCTTGTCATGTAGCAAGTTGTTAGGACACTGGGTTATAATGTAACCTGCTCGCCTACTGTGTATGTTCTGAATATTTATATTGTTTACTAATAAATAAGCTTATGTGGAACTTATAATGTGCGTACCATTTTTGAGGCGATTACTGTAATGAATTAAATGCATTGTTTTCCACCAAGTCAACTTGGGGTGCTGAAACATAATCAACTAAACTGGCATTGGATGAGTTAATCGTAATTAATCATAATTAAAAGAACTAAAACAAAGACAGACGTTCATTTACATTTTCAAAGCAGAATAACTTAATTTAGCATTGTTTTTCAGATAAACAAGAATGTTCTCTAAGCATGTTTCTTAAAAATCTGCAAACCTATTATGGTAATTTTATGCTTTAGAAGAGTCAAAGGCCCAATCCCAATTCTACCCTTTAGCCCTTCCCCTTTCCCCTACCCCTTGTTTTGCGCATTCCCGTGAAGGGGTAGGGGTGTCCCAATTCTCTTTGGCTTGAAGGCGTAGCGCTAAGGGCAAGGGGTAGATACCCCTTCGAACAAAGATTTTTTAGGACCACACTCGAAACCAAGGGTTAAGAAAATTTCCCAGAATACACCAGCAATACACCAATAATAAGGAGATCCACAAATTAGTATTTTTGTCATTATTCTGAATTTTTACAACAAACAAGCACGTTTCAATATATTCATTAAAAAAAAAATCCATAATCATAAATCCTGTACAGCAGTCCCACAACATTCTGACACTCGATGACACTCAAATACCCTGTCAGAAAAGTCTATTGGCAGGGAGTGGGCTTTTTACAGTGTCTGCTATAATGTTAATGTTGTTTTGGTGTGTTTACTTAGATGAATATGGCCATGCTGTAAATGCATAGTATATTTACTGTCTTATTGTCACATTATATCGTTATGATAACATAATATATGCCTTTTCTGATTTCCTAAAGATAAATACCTAAAAATAACACTGGATAATAACAATAACAAATAATAAAAATAACAACTGGAATAACTACAGCAGTCACGATTGTCTGATCTCATATGAAGAATGAGATCGTGATGACATACTGTATGATGAAGTGTGCAGGTGCTGTAGTGCTGTCCCAATTCTTAGGGGTGAAATTTTGAAACCCTTTCCCTAAACACTCGGTTTTAAGGGCCAAGAGGAAGGGGTAGGGGTACAAAAAATAGAATTGGGATTGGGCCAAAAACTTACAGCAACTTTAACAAAGTAAAAAAAAATTGCTGGGCTGTTTCAACCCAAATTTGGACAATATCCAGAGGTCAAAAGTTCAATTTTAAAATGAAATTTATAACCCAGCAGTGGAGTTTCTCCAAATTTTATCTAAATTTGAGCTGAAACAACCCAGCAATCCAGCATTTGCTTCATATTTTAGTGCAAAACTTTTTAGGATTATGTGATGAATGGAGGCTTCAAAATAACAATTTATGAACAATTGAATGTTTTTTTTAACATTATAAATGACTTTACTGTGTCAATTTAATATGCAGATCATAAATTCAACAAAAGTATGAAGCAGCACAACTGTTTTCAACTCATTACACTTAGTTCTGAAGTATTATGTGGCACTGAAAACAGGCTGCAGAAGATTCGGTTCAATTTTGAACAGGAGTAAATTTCATTTTAAAATCTAGTTCCTATTTATATTATATATTATTCATTCTTTCTTTTCGGCTTAGTCCCTTTATTAATCAGGGGTCGCCACAGTGGAATGAACCACCAACTTATCTAGCAAACTGTATGTTTTACGCAGTGGATGCTCTTCCAGTCACAACCCAGCACTGGGAAACACCCATACACTCTCATTAACACAAATACACAGTGGCCAATTTAGCTTATTCAATTCACCTATACCGCATGTCTTTGGACTGTGTGGGAAACAGAAGCACCTGGAGAATTATTATATATTACATATATTTAAAATACTTCAAAACATAGATACCTTATTCACTACACTGCTTTAAACCATATATAAAAATGCCAATGTTAATCCCAACTCCTCTTACCACAGCAAACCTTTCATCAGTTTCTTAAAGTTTTCAAGAACTCACAGATGTACCTTCATTAATTTAATATGAAGCGTGTGGGCATTACATATAGATCACACACACACACACACACCTGTAATGTCGGGTGTCTCTAAGTGCTCTGTTGCTGGGGATTCGTTCGCTCTCTCTTTGATTGAAGGCATACAGACTGTATGGGTCCTGGCCCGGTTTCCATCTGTGAGCACTGAGGTAGCTTTTCTCTTCAAACTCTTCCAGCAGGTCATCCCACTCAGTATCTGAGATCTACAACATAATGAAAACACTGCGGTCAGATTGGTTTTACATGTATTAAGCCTATTCATTCTATTCACACGGTCTCCTTTGATAGAAATACTAGGTGTCAAAGGCACATCGGGTTAAATGTATGTTTGAATATTAAGTAGAATTTCAGCATAAACAATAACTCAAAACATGCTTAGAGACATGAGCTGATATTAAATAATATTGTGATAAGAACATGCATGATATTGTTTTTATTGTGGGCATTTAACCACTTCAAAAGCTTTTAAAGAATATTCTGATTGTTTTATTCACAGTGATTTTCATCAATGCACCAGATGATTGAACACATAATTGGCCATTTATTTTTAACATATACATTTCCATGTGTTAATCTGAGTTACGACATGCCAGAGATATTTATAAAATAGTTCTGTTTTTTTATAGATCTATTGTTCATAAACACCTACAACAAGGCTCCATTTGTCAACATTAGTTAATTACTCTAAACAGTAATTAAAAATGACGTGTGAAGCATTTATTAATCCTGGGTGATGTTAATTTCTTATTTAAATGTTTAATAGTTCATTAAAATCATACGTTGAAACCTTTTTATTTAATACAGCTAATAACTAATAAAATCAGATGTAATTTTAAAGCAAATGTTAACAATAACTAAGTGAAGTGAAGTTAGTTAACACAGTAAGTAAGTTTTACTCTTGAGACCTTATTATCTATTTATAGCCCTTTTGCAATTTTAATCAAAATCAGAATCAAAAAGAGCTTTATTGCAAAGTCTGCTTGTACACACAGGGGATTTATCTTGGTGGTAGGAGCTTCCAGTACAGAGAGCACAACAAATACAAACATAAAGAGAAAAAAGATCATGAAAAACTGACAATAGCATAATAAATAAAGAAAAAAAAAGTTTCCTATAAACAGAATGCATAATTATGTTATTTAAAAAGGTGGCTCAGTTAGGATATGGCCTGTGGGAAAAATATTAATGCACATTAATGTACAATAAAGCAATACACACAATTTACTTTTGCAATTATACCAATAAAAATAATAATTTTTGCAGATAATAAAAAAATCCCAGAAGATGAGCAGCATCAAATGTCAAATATTTAAAGAAAAGTAACGCAAGCACAATTTTGGGTTTGGTTCAGTATAAAGGTATCACCTTTATTAATGCAAATCTGAGGCCATACAAAAATGATCAATAATTTATATTAAACTTTTTTGGAAATTTCATACGAGGTTGAGAAAATATACTTGATGCAAAAGTTTTGCCTGTGAAGATGAAAATAAAGATCAAGGATTTATGGTAACAGCGGCGCAACTTAACAATTTATTAATTTGACTAATTTCTTGAGTAAAGATTACATTTCATGGTAAAAAAAATCTATTTTTTTTATATTTGAACAAGAAACAAGGCAGCCCTACGTATTTTGCATTGTGACAACTCAATTTCTGTATCTAAATATTTGGTAACACTTTACAATAAGGTTCATTAGTTAATGCATTTACTAACATGAACTAATCATGAACAACACTTGTACAGCATTTATTAATCATAATTGAACATTTACTAATGCATTATTAACATCCAAGTCCATGCTTGTTAACATTAGTTAATGCACCGTGAATTAACATGACTTAACAATGAACTACTGTATTTTTATTAACTAATGTTTACTAACATGAATAAATACTGTAGTAAATGTATTGTTTATTGTTTGTTCATGTTAATAAATGCATTATTTAACATTAACTAATTAACTTTATTGTAAAGTGTGACCAAATATTGGTTAGACTCCCTAGAAATAGAAAGGAGAATTCAAACCATTTGGTGAAACTATATTCATATCACATTATTTATGACAAACATATATATATATATATATATATATATATATATATATATATATATATATACATCACAATGCAAGATTTTTCCAACATCGTGCTGTCTTAATTTAAGGCTGTACTAAAACAGTGCAAGAGTGCAAAATGTTTTTGAGAAAAAAATCCTTCCTTATTGCCTTTTTTAGTATTGTGCTAATACCATATATCATGATAAAAGCTTCAGCAATTTTTGCAGTAAGACAATTTGATCCCCTCCTATGCCTAGCCATGCTCTAATAGGAGTATTTTAATTAGGTGCAAAGACATGTTCAGTAAACTACTTAAAAGAGTTGCTATAGGCAATATTCCTAATTATCATAAAAAAGGCATTAATATTTCAGCATTCTGCAGCACCATCCCACCACCAAACCCCTCGAAATACGATACTGTAGTCACAAATATTGAGGGCTGAACACACCCCGTCTTAGAATCCATAAGGCCATATCAATCATAATTTAATAAACCTCCACATTCTGCACCGACAGCAGCTTAAGAGTTTCCATGTTTTCCCACTTATTATTTCCTAGAGCTTTTTTTGCTGATGTTAGACCATTAAGGGGGCTGGAGGCTGTTGGTTATAGTTGAGGCTGGTGATTACCAATGCCAGCAGGTTGCTGGTTTCTCCCCAGACGCCTGTATGAATGCTGACTGATGATGATGCCTCCTCCTCTCCTGCCTTTCCAAATGCAGCTACTGCCCTCCATGGAAATAAGCACCACTAACGTTCACATCTGTGTAGAAATTCGGCTTCACATAATGGAGAGGGTTGTTGTTATGAAAACACACATCATCAATCAATAACCCATGTTCATGACAGGTTTGATTTCAGAGGAATTGTAATTAGAACCAAGGGGGTATAGAGAACACGATGATCCTCTTATTACATTATTTTTTAAATATAATAAAACTTTAAAAAAAAAAAACATTAAGCCAAAAGTCAAATTTTCTGACTTTTCTTTGACTATTACTGGCTTATAAACTTTCACATTTTGCACCACGTTGCTTAAATAGCAAATCCATTTTAGGCCACTTTGTGGACTCATGGGCATGCCGGTCTAAAAAGGAGGTGTGTTAAGGCGGATTGTTGAGGTGTTGCTATTTTGAGGAACTGAAATAAATCATGCCGTTGACCAACTGAAATCTGGTCTTAAGTCCAGCGCAGATTGTGTTAGGTATGGGCCTATACGGCCCAAACGCTCACACATTGCTTAATACATACCGGATGTACAGCAATGCACAAATATTTTTACATATGAAAAAATGAAAGGAAGAAAATGTTACAAAAAATATTATTTATCTCCATAAATATAAAAACCACTACCTGCATGCCTTCTTCATCTCTGGGGTCTTTTGTCAGTTTATTCATGACAATTTGCATTGTTATAATATTATTATTAGCAGTATTATTTATTATATGCATATTTATATTTGTTTTAATAAAACAAGTTTAGATTTGTCCACCTTTCGGGTTTCGGAGACGTATGCATCACCATATGGGGCCTATCAGGACGTGTGCTTGGACAGAATTCTTCTTTATTAGTATCACTTCTTTTATTATTGTTCATTTATTCGTTTGCTGGAAATTAGAAATGAATTTAGAAATAGTTTTGAAACAAATCTTTGCGCTTAACAAATGAAATTAGATATGTGGGCTAATAGATGTCTTCAGTGGAGTGAGTTTCCATCATTTCCTTATCTATGAAAGGAAAGAAGTAAAATAAAGAGTAAAAGTAAAGAGAAAGTAAAAAGGCTGAATGGAGGAGGCTCGTTCTTTATCCTCATGCTACAGATGGTCTATTTAATCGTTTTCTCGCAAGTGAAGCGTTTAGTTTTTCCTTTTACTAAGTCATCTATGTACAGTAAATAGCAAATACACCACGGCGCGACGCAACCTACTCTTAAAGGGAAAGTGAGATGAGACTAATTGGTTTATTGTACATTATGGTCAAAACACACCCATAACTTAATAAGAAAATAAGCACAACCCTGTTAGACCATGTGCCAGGGCACAGAACATATTTTTTAGTTTTTCGTTCCGTACACACCCTTAATGCTTTTGCCATGCACTTTAGACTCTGCGCCTATATATATTTAATCATGTTATCATGTCACATCAGTTTAGGAGACATTGATAAACTGAAAGTTAAATTGAATTGCCTTTTTTTAAATGAAAAGGTTAGTTAATATTCTTGATTATAATTTTAATACAATACTGATTCGTACATTAACACAAATTTTACATAGTACTCTAAGTCTTTAAATATGTGATCAAATAATGGCCGCAGAGACAAACAAATGTCCAAAATTAGCAGTAATTAGACTGCATCCTACTTATAGCTATATTTTCAGTTCTGTCAGTGACCTTTCATGCTACCCATACGCTTGTTAAGTTGTGACATTTCGGTGACGTATAAAATACTGTTTCCAGGTACAAGCCACTACTCAATTGAATTGAAAAAACTGTTGTTTATGACCACTTTTTAGACATATCACACAAAGTGAATTTTACATAAAATCATTGTGAACACAACATTCTCTGGGTGCACAACACTGATCTCCAATATTTTAACAACTTATAAAAAATGTATCACTTTCTGGCCATCGGATATTAGGCATGCATATATACATCTGACAATTGAATAGTAAAATGTAAAACTAATAACAAAAATCTGGACAAAAAATATATGAAACCCCCTTTGTTCTCCAATATCTGGAACAGACCTTTTAAACATCTATGATATTCCAGAAATTCCATGACTCGTGGGAACCCTGCTCAAAACATGAGACTTTTTACTATAACATGAGACCACGTGACTTTTATTTATTTATTTTTTTAATTTCTTGAGTACTTTTTGAATAATACATTACCTTTTTTTAATTAAACTTGTTTTATACTTACATTTTAACCAGTAATCTTTTATTGAAAATGGACTCAAGAAACAAGCATACCTTAGTATGTATATGTTTATACTAAGGGTACCAAGTCATGTAGTTCTCAAGTGGAATCATTTTACGAAACCTTATTCTTTTTTTTCTTTGGATTTTTTTCATCAATAAAATAACAACAATGTTAATGCTGAGCTATTAAATTGTCCTTTGGAGCGAGTGAACTTGAGGGCATTGTAAACACGATGAGTTAAGAATTAACCAGTGAGCCCACATGTCTTTTCTCAGTATTGCTTGTGTGGTTGGGATGTCATGGCCCGCTGCTTTACAACAGCCACAACAGCATCTTTACAGCCAGTAATAGAGGTTGGTAATTGCACATGTCTGTTTCTTTCCACTGCTTAACATGATAATGACTGGGCTTTCAATTCAGCTTCCCGGTCATTTTGGTATCAGATGACATTAACAATTTCTTTAACAATCGCTTTCTGTCTGTTTTAAAGTGAGGCTGATATTAGAATGCAGATTCATGCATTGTGATACATTTCATTATGGTTGTGCAAAACCGCATATTTCAAAATCAACCTTTTGTGTTTAAATAAAATAGACGTGCAAACACTGTAGAATTTAATGGTTAATTCATTCTTTAATGCTTAATCTTTTTCTGTATTTCAGAATGCAGAATGACAACCACATTTAATTACAATTTCAGGTATAGTGACAACAACATTTAGAAGAACAACTAGTAGTTAATGACGTATCAGAGCAGTGTAAACCATCTGTCTGCATGCGTACAAGGCCAAAACGAAAAAATAAAAAGCAGACAAACATTTATTTTTCCACAAAATGGTTACTGACAGATTATTTAACAAGTACATAATATTGCATAATATTGGTCATACATTTTCTTCAGCATATGTAATCTTTAGGGGTGTGACAATTAATTGTTTTTTCGGTGCACCGCGATGCAGATGCGGACAATTCGGTATCGGTTCAGTAATAATCATAACCGGTTAATATGTACTGACATAATTTATCTCCTATGTCATTTATCTCCTATGCACTATGTAGCGAGGGAGGTGAATGGGGGTATTTACAACACTCTAGGAGCCGGCCCGTGGCATAGGCAGTATAGGCAAATGCTAAGGGTGCTGTACATCCAGGGGGGCACCAGAAATGAGCACGGTTACGTTGGTTTTGTTTTTCGATATTCCTGACACATTCAGTTTTAGTGGCAATAACTCAAAAACCTCTTACCCTAAAAAGATGTAAAGTGTGTTTCCTACAAAAATTCAAAGCTGGTTCTGTTTCACAGCTGTCTTTTTTTTTTTTTTTCACTCAACGTTACGACCACTGCTCTCTTTAAGTCCTCGCAATATGCATTTTGCCGGGAGAGCTCGTGCGGACCGGAGCTCTCTTTAAGGGACCGTCGGAAAAGTGCTTCTTTTTTTTTTTTTTAATTGCTCTGCTCAGCTCGAGCTCTCCCGGCTAAACGCATATTGCGAGGACTTAAGTGTGTGTGTGTTTGTTTGTTTGTTTGTTTGTTTGTTAGGTGCTGTCTACGTTTGTGTATGTGTATGAATGAGAGACAGTGTGGTGCTGTGCGCCTGTGTGTTTATACAGAAAGCTTGTTATAGCCTCCCCCTAAAACATAACACTGTGTATGGAAAGCATCGTCAATGCACCGTGATGCACCGAGATATCGAATTGAACCGAATCGATGGCATGATAATCGTAACCGAACCGAACCGTGAGACCAGTATAGGTTCACACTTTTAGTAATCTTAGGATAAGTAATAATTTTTCTTGGAATAGACATAATTGGCCCTAACATACACCCGGTACAATGCGGTGCAAGGCGCGATGCAATTGTTGTTTGCTAGTTTCAGCTCAGTGCAAGAGTTGTTTTGACGTTTTGCAGCATGCTCAAATGTGCGCTTATAGGCGTTTTGTTGTAAAAAAGGAGGCGTTTAGGCGCATTGCTATTTTGAGAAACTATAATAGATTGTTCAACAGACCAGAACAAAACCGGTCTAAAGTACAGCGCAGAGCACGTTAGTTGTGCGCCTCGCTAACACATTGCTTAATACACACAGGGGGTACAGCAATACCCAATTTTTTTATATGAATTATTAATAACATTATTATTATTAATAATAATGTTTTTATTATTAGCAGTATTATTTATTATATGCATCTTTATATTTGTTTTATTAAAAACAAGCTTAGACTTGCCCACCTGTCAGGTTTTAGACTATATGGAGCACAGCACATGTATTAGGATATAACTGCTTTTGAACACACTTCGTTATTATGGTTCATTTATTCGTTTGGTGGAAATTAGAAATTAATTTAGAAATAGTTTTGAAACAAAATTTTGCGCTTAACAAACAAAATTAATTATTTATAGGTTAATGGATGTGTGTGCGTACATAAAGTTTCCCTATCCACGAGAGTGAAAGTAAATAATGAGAAAGTTCATCATTCTCACGCTGTAGATGCTCTGATCTTGCAAGTGAAACGCTTAGTTTTTCCTCTTACGAAATCCGTCATGTTAACAGCAAATGCGCTATGGCGCGACGCAACTGGCTCTTAAAGGGAATGGGAGATGAGACTCTGATTGGTTTATTCTCAAAACACACCTATAACTCATTAAGAAAATAAACTCAACCCTTTTAGACCATGCGCCACGGCGCAAAGCGTTTTTTTCCACCCCTAAAATAGCAAAAGTGGATTCTGACACGCCCTTAATGCGTTTGCGCGTTGCGATTTGCACATGGGTTGTCAAAAGAGAGCCCAATAACTCTCAGCATTCTAGAAAATGGATTTAAAGATGCACAGCACACTAAATAATAATAATAATAATAATAAAAACATTACAACTTGTTTCAGATGGTGTTAAAAAGGCACCCTCAACAACTGACTCAGCCCTTCTTTTTTCTTAATTAACAGCGAACAAATTTATGCCCAGTCAAATGATAAATGCATGTAAAGAAGAGTATCTGATTTATTGGAATAAAGCAGCAGGAAAACAAAGTAAACCTAAATGTTATTTAGACCTAAATAGAGATTGTATGACAGCAACATATCAGAGTTCAGGAAAAGGAAAGTAAATTAAGAACAACAATGACCAAATACAGGCTGAGTGCTCAGTCTGACTGTAGAGAACTGTAAACCCAGAGAGAGCTGCAACTGCCCACACCAGTGGCATGCGGTGAGGTTTGTGGCTGGTGGGGCACGACTCTTTCAGGGTCAAATTTACATGCACCCAATATTTTCTTTCTACACACATGGCAGGTACATATTGGGCATATCAGTATGCCCCCCAAAAACACAAAGGTGGACGCTACAGACAGCCTGTACCAAGCGATGTGCACACACACATACACACACACACACACTTTACATTAAATTATGTCTTGAATGTCTGAATGAATGATCGAGCTATCTCCTGTCCTGTTGTTTGAAGCACGCCCTTTAGCTCCCGCATTGGTCGTCCATTATTTATTCACATTTTGAATAATAGTCCAATTTTGAGAAATTGTTTAAGCTGAGATCTTAAAGCTTCACCCAGGATTTTTTCAGTCAGTTAGAGCAAAACATAAAATATCTAACTTCTATTAAACTTTACTAGAAGAAGAGCAACCACAGAACAAGAATAATTTTGAGCTCATGCGTGCCCTCTTCATTGCGGCAGGGCTACTGCCTGCCTCACCTCATGTCTTCAGTGCCGCTTTATGTCAGATTCTAACACTAATTAAGTGATAAACATACGTGAAATACATTACCTAATATATGCAAAATGAGGACATATACAGTAATAAAAAATGTCCACAATGTATAAAAACATCTTAACAAAGCATTACATTGGTAGGCACTGCCTCACCTGCCTCCCCTGACCCACACTGTGCCCAGGCAGAGGTGGAGATGAAGGAACACTGCCTCACCCACTGCACAACCTCACCCCACGCAACGCAACGTGTTCATGCTTTTCAGGCACACCTAGTTGAGATGACAGGGGGCATTTGTGACCGTGGGAACTGCATACGGCTGAAGTTTGAGGAAGAAGCAATGGAAAGTACAAAGGGTTTGCAAACCCACTTACAAATAATGGCGCCGATGAGAACTATCATGTGGCGAGTGTTAATCCGCCAGCTGAGATTAAGTGAGTGTTCTTGGAAAGAGTGCTGAAAGACTCAAGCCTGTTTCACACCACAAGCGTGAGCAGCGCATGTTTTTTTTTTTTTTTGGGCGTCCATGTTAACAGATTAGAGCTTTATACTGCATGCAGAAGCAGCGTGTCAGCGTGAGCATCACTGAAGCAGCAGTGCCGTGATAGTTTTGGCACTATGTCTATTTTTGCCATGCTGCACACGCTAAATTAAGGTGAGAATGCATTGATAATGACCAAAAACAGATTGAATCACAGTAAAATGTAGCAAGTTACCCAATAAATGCATCAGTAATATCCACCGATTTTTATATAGTCAATTAATTGAACTTTTAAAACAGCAACAAATATGTTTTTAGGCCCGAACTACAAAACCAAATTTTAAATAATTTTAGTTTTAGTTTTAACTTCTAGTGGGGTTTTGAAATCAATGAATGCATTGTGATAACCATGAAACAGAGATTATTTCGTACAACCAAAATTTATAATCGTTGCATCCCTACTTTCCATGTGAGAGCAGTCTACCTGACGTACAATACAATTTACCAAGCTAAAACCTCACCTGTCTAGCGAAGAGGGCAGTTTAGCATGACTTTACTATTATCAATCAGCAAAATTTGCAACTTACTGTGTTGATCCGCTGCTGCCAGCAGTTAGTGTCGACCATTGAAGATGCTGCATATGCCTGCAAAGTCCCGGGCAGTGAAAAAGGGGTCACGCCAAATTATTAAAATCACATTTGATGAACAGACCTGCCACACATCGACAGCTGCTCTAATAAATTGTCTGTGTCAACTCACTTTTATAACATTTATTCTACACAATAACCACATACAAAAATCTACTCAAATAAATTGCATTAGTTTTATTCAAAGTAAACTGTTATATAAAAACGTATATATTTTAAGTAAAGAGGAAGCAAATAAATATATTTCTGGTAAAAAACAAATAAAATAAACTAGATTGAAATTATATAAAGTATATAAAACCTACTTTGTGAGTTTAGCACTTTCTACAGTGCAATTAGAAATGCCCATGGCATACATTTATTATCTCTCCTTGATATCGAACTAATTTTGATATCGGATCGATACCATTAAAAATAGCATTTACCGGCCGATAACAATTTGGCTGCCGATATATCATGCATCCCTTAAACAAGAAATAGTTAACTTCCTAGTTAAACAGAAAATGAGGTGCATAACTGCAAAAAGGTCGACTTTTTGTGAAAAAAGAACCACCCTTTTCACTAGGCTGGCTACAGGCCTGTGGCTGGTATCATCTCTTTACAACTCTTGGATCCCATCAAGTGGCGTAATATCTTCATTTGTGTTGAAAAGAAGAACGAAGGTCTTGGGGGATTGGAATGAAGTGAGGGTGAAGAATTCATTTTTAAAAAGCATTTTTGAGTGAACAAACCACTCAAAAGACAAAAGGGCGCAAATAAAAAAGTAACATTAAACTCTTTGCATTAGGGCACAATGACTCACTCCAAAATGAACTCTTTTAATCATTAAGCATAGAAACTGAATGTAATTAGCACACGAAAAAAAAGATGACAGGTTCTGAATCCATGTGTCAAATTTCCTATCTGCTTTACAATTTCATCCGCCTTCAAAAAAAGCAGCGTTCGCGCAGCCACCCCCACGCTCCCTGCTGAAATCATTAGCTCCTTGATGCTCCACAGTCAGTGATCAGGGCATTTGAGCCATGCCACGTTTGGGGCTCAGTGTTTCCCCTGGCTCCCACAGAGCTCAGCCTTCTAATGAGAGGAGGAGGACAGACTGAGGAAGTGGTAATTGGATCCTCCCTGTCCTGTCGTCTGAACTCTGCATGTGTGGGTCCTTTTTATAGAGCGCTACTCCACCAAAGCCTCTCTGCCCTCTTGCAAAGCAAAAAACCACACATACCGAACTTCTATTGAAATCCTGCTCTCTTTTCACAGGCCTCAGCAGCACACGCTCAGCAGGTACACAAGTCGTGCACGACTGTAAAATCAGTATTGCATTAAAATGATTCATTCCAACATTGTGTCAAAATTCATGTGCAGGCAAATGATGAGTCCATCAAACTCCATCTGTCCGGTCTAACACCTGACACCGAGCCACCGCGAATATACCGCACAACAACACTGTCTGCTTGTGTAATCTGTATTGTGGGACATATCAGCCATGAATCATGGTAATAGCAGATGTCACGGGTGATATCTGAGTCCTCCCTTACCATTATAAAGATAATGCATCACTCTGCTGATGGGGGAGTATCTTCCCATCGAATCTGAGTGAGATGTCACCGCCATTTGATGAATGGTTTGAACACACTGGCCACGGTGACACACAGCGCATTCACCTCAACAGCCGCTGCGCCAACCCTGTATTTCACATTCCTCCTCGCCAATAACAGCTATTGCGGGTCTGGCCTTCCCTGTCAGGGTTATTACAGAAAATAGATATTGAAGCAAACAGCAAATTGAAACATGATGTTCAACACAGAATACCAAAGCAGGCATTTCTCTTCCAGCACTAAGTTGTGTTTAAAGGGAGGAGTGTCTGCAAAATCTATCACTTCTCACTTTTCAGGGTCACAAAAACCATTTATTTTGATTTATTTTCACATTCCCCTCAAAAAAGAAAAGAATGCAAAGTCAAATCCAAGCATTTACCAGCCCTGAATGCTTTCTTGAAGATAAATCCGGTCATAAAAACTCAATCATTGTCTCAGTACAGATGTAAGGAGCATGTGCGACGTGTTTTCATATTTCCGCTCCTATAGAGTGTTGCTCAGTGTTGAGATATATTGCGCCATATATCATGTTTCATACCCCATTACCCTCGGTGATACTTTATTGTCATATACCAGCCGCTGTTTGAATGAAAAACTGACTTACAAGATGTACAAGCAGATTTACGCATCTAAACAGCAACAATACAGGAGCTAGACTATTAATGCAACAGATATGAGAATCATCCCGCTATGCTGTTTGTGAATATCCTTGACCTTCTGTTCCCTTACTTTCTGAATAGCGCACATAACAGTGCAATTATTTATTGATTATAGTGGCTCCTGGTAAAATCCGCTGCAAGATAACTATTTCTTCATTCGGGATTCAATCCAAAATGCGTATAAAATTAACTGTTTAATACAGTACACTGCTTTATCTTAAAAGTCAAGGAGAATGAAGTACAAAAAGAGATGTGTTTTTTAATTAGCACATGGAGAAAATAGTATTGAAGACATTGGCATAGTTTTTCTCCTCAGATGTTTCTCATAAAATTACCCAATATAGAATAAAATAGAGAACACAGAGATGTAAGATGAATGTGAATAGCAAAGCTCAACTCTTTTGCTTTTAGATGGAATTAGTTTTTTTGAGTTTATATTAAAATCTCAGATGCTTGGCATCGTTTAGTCTGTTCTCAAACTCCAGGTCTGATAGAACCACATGTCAGAATATTATTTCTCATGAAAAGCAAGTATTAAGTAACAAATCCTAATAAAACGAATTGAGAAACAACTGAGAGATATTACAGTGATTTCTAATTCAGTAGGAAGTTAGAAAGGGGCTGAACTGTTTCTAGGGTAAAATGTCGTGGATACAATGGTCTTGATGTATTTATAGCCTTAATTAGGAACATTTTATACATGCTATTTAAATATTTACTTTCCTACTCAATCTAGATTGAGTATCTGCTCCCTCTTGTGCGCACTTACATGAAAGCTGTAACCATGCGTCCGTCATTCTGAAAGATAAGAATTTATGCTTGCATAAAGAAAGACCAAACTGACCATTTTTGTCAACAAACTAAATGTGAAAAGGTTATCGAAAACCTATTGCTTCGTCTTCTGAGGGAAAAGTATAAGTTAAATTATTCTCTTGCAGGTTCAGAATAAGTTCAGAAGAGCAATTCGTGAGACAAAATATTACTTTTTTTAACATATTCAATATGATAAAAAGATACTGCAAGCTAGACAGTTTTATCCTTTATTATCGACAAAGGTATTGTAAAAATGACGCACCTATACATGCTATATTTTCTCTTGGAAGAGGAAAAAAATAAGTTTGTGACAGGTCCTAAAAAACAATATGCCAAACAATCATCGTCGCGGCTTCAATTTTCAACATATCATAATGTCTCACTCACCTCTTTGACTTGCGGTTGCTCGTTTCTTTGGTCAGGTAGTATTTTCCGGCTGTTCAGCAGTATGAAATAGAGTAAAGCTGCTATCCAAAAGAGCGCTGCCAGAGCTAAAGTCAGCTTTCGAGAAAGCCTCTTCATTTTCAAACGGCCGTCAACGATTCATTTCAGTTTGGAAAGCATTCGCGCGCTCTGCTCCTCTCAGCCAGCGGAAGGCGATTTGTGTCCGCGCGCCGCGCTCGCGCACTCGCCTCTAGTGCCGTATATCCAGGAATGAGGTTGTTGCTCTCGTGCGCAGGGCGCTGACTTGCTGAGACCGTGAGTGACGCTGGCCGCTGTCCAGCGCGATTAAAATCATCCTGTGTGCCCGCCGAGCTACTGACAAAATGTGAATGAGTTTAGCACCACCTACCGCGGAACGGCGCTTTCACGGACCTGCCCGTTCCTGATGCGCTTCTCATATTGACTCGCTTTGAATTTCTCTCGGTTATTTGGGTAAAGGGCTTACAATAAGCAGGAGCCCTACACCTACCATATAAAGCCTGGCAATATTAGAGGATTTTGTGCGATTTTTAGAGCAAGACAAGCCATGGAAACCACTCAGAGAGAAAGTAAATATAATTTATGAAGGTTTATGCGGTTCCAAGCCATTAAGGCGCTAAAACTTAAAGTTTAAAGCCATTCAATGGTATTTTAAAATGACTATGATTAAAGCTATATTAATTAATAAAACATTAGAGGTCAGAAAATGTAAGTAATCTCCATTTGAAAAGATTACACTTTATATAAGTTAACTGTATTATATTTATCTAATTAACTAAACCAATAAATATCCAATTAGCATGTAATTATTGCACATTCCACATAAATTAAATGCAAATCGTTTAAAATGGGCAAATATATGGATATAACAAGTAAATTGCATCAAATGGACAAGCTGATAGTAAGTTCTGGAAGAAATGTTGTTTTCATTTGTCATTAATAGGTTACTGTTTCCAAATATAACATTAAATTATGATACACATCATAGAATGTAATTTTATAAAATAATATATCCTAAATAATCAACTCGTTTGTTTATCAGGCAGCTTCACTCTTTCTAGACCCAAATAGTTCACATAAAAAACTTGCTGTTAACTCACCATCAGGCAATTCAAGATGTACTGTAGGTGATTTTCATCTTCAGTAAAACCTTAAAGAAGATTTTCAGCTGTGACTGCAATCCTTGCTGATTCATAATTGGCAAGGTAACAGCTACCAGCACCTTGAGAGTCAAATAAGTAAATAAAATAAAAATGCAGGCAAGAGACAATTAACACATGTGACTCCTGATGCTACACTGAGATCTTAGGAAGAAAAACAACCAAGCAAGAAACTTAACATTAATAAAAGAACAGCATAATAACAGGCATGCATGGAAAAACATCCACTATATCTTGGATTGGTTACAGTAAGTGAGCAAATTAAATCTTGTGTATAATCTACACCTTTAATTTCCACATGGACAATTATCCTTGAATCATATACTGTAGGTGTTGTATTATAGTACCAGTCAGTCAGTTTAAAAAAAATAAAAATTAAGTGGCTCTGATGCTCAGTTGATCCATTAATACCGTTTTACCCTTGAAACAGCACCTAACCTCAGGAGGACTGTGCCTGAAAGATGTGCACTAGACAGTGAAGACTATAAATAATAGCTAAATGACAAATTACACACCAAAAAAGACATTTGCTGTTTGTTCAAACTACTTATTTAAATTAAGCTGAAACAACACAACTGTCCCAAGTTTTTTTTGGAGGGACAACTTAATTGTTTTATGTTCAATCCACACTGTAAAAATTTAAAACTTAAACAAAATACTTCGACTTGTTACAATTAAATGAATTAAGTTTGATAAACTTAACTTATGACAATTTTCAGTATTAAATTAAGTTAGTCCTTTTAGGTGTAACAACTTTTAGTAATTTATTTAAGAAAATAAGAATAGAATAGTACATTCAGTACAATACAGGACCCAAATAAATAAATAAATAAATAAATAAATAAATAAATAAATAAATAAATATATATATATATATATATATATATATATATATATATATATATATATATATATATATATATATATATATATATATATATAAATTATTTTTTAACATATCTATAGTTATGCGGTGGCACAGAGTTATACCTCTTTCTTGACTTCAACCAGAAACAGCAACGTGTGCGGCATGACATTACTTTGTGGCAGAATAGCTATTGGTTAATTGCGACAAAGTAGAACACAAAAGCTTGAAGCGGAAAGTGTGAGTATGTCTGCGGTCTGGAGGTAATATCAATTTGATGACTACAACATTGCCATAGCAATACAACTGTGAGATATGTAAACTTGCAACTTGACATAAAATTTTTCACCATCAAAATTAGCAGTAAAATGATCTACATTTTATGAGCAAATACTCTAGGCTAGGAAACTTTGCTTTGTGCATAATTTTTCTCCTCAAAGAATAAAAATTTGGAATAACGTATTGATTACTGCTAAAGGAAAGAGTTTATACTTGGAAAAAATGATTGGAACATGGGTTGGTATATGTAAGTGATTTATTTGATTCATCTTTAGGGATCAATTTCTATGAACCATTTTTGTATAAGTTCAGTTTTCCTGTTAAATTTAAAGAATTTTCGACAGTGATCAAAGCTATCCTCTCGAGACTCGGTAATTTAATGTGCAGTCATTTGACCTATTATAATCTAGAAAATAAAGAATGTAATTTCCTAGTAAATGGTAAAAATATATTTGACAAAAAATGTAGTAACAATGACATAAGGCAAGTATTTAAAGATAAAAATAGAATTAATTCAAGAGGGAAATTTTAATGCAATTCTTTATTATGGGAGGTTAATTGGAGAAAAGCATGGCTGCCACCATACAAACTTTACATTTCAAATAAAGAGAAATTCAGTAAAAATTTGACATAAAATATACCAAACCAACGTGTTGCTTTCCAAATTTTCAGATATTGAGAAAGAATGTTCATTTGGTAAAAACTGAGGAATCCTTATGTCACGTATTTGTTGATTGTCAGAGTGTGCAATTATTTTGGAAATACTAATATGTTGATAATAAGGGTGTGATGAGATCTTGGGCTATGAGATCTCACAAAACGAAACCGCAACAAGATTTATCATCGAAGTGCAAAGCTATCTAGTGAGTTGTGATGTTATGATGGAGCTTGAGGGTGAATTTAGCACTCAAGATTGGAGGCAGGATTGGATTTAAACTGCTTGGGCAGGTGTGACACTTTTTTTTTTCTTCATTTTTCATTAGTTCAAAGGTTGCTGCATCCAAAAGCAGAGGCCACAACAACTGCAGCTACACAAACTAGCCACGGCTCATAACCATGTGATGGAATAGCACTTTAGATATGCTGAAAGTCATAATAATTGTAAACACAAATGGAATCAAGACATGTGGAGTATTCCTATTTTAGCAAAATTATTGACATCAAGTGCAATACAAACATGTAAACACCGTAATCAAACTAATAATAATAATAATAATAATAATTCCTTACATTTATATAACGCTTTTCTGGGCACTCAAAGCGCTTTACACATTGGCGGGAATCTCCTCATTTACCACCAGTGTGCAGCATCCACCTGGATGATGCGACGGCAGTCATTTTGCGCCCACCACACACCAGCTGATTGGTGGAAAGGAGACAGTGATGAACCCAATTATGTTATGGGGAGGCCATGATAGACGGAGACCAGTGGGCAAATTGGGCCAGGATGCCAAGGTTAAACCCCTACTGTTTTTCGATGGACATCCTGGGATTTTTAACGACCCCAGAGAGTCAGGACTTTGGTTTAACATCTCATCCAAAAGACGTTCAAGAGCACCCACTGAGCACTATTAGCATCATGTAGGACTTTTAGCCAAATTCTGCAACAGGAAAAGGCATACACGCAAAGCTGTTTGACACTATTGTCTGCACCAATCGAGTCAGTAAAGGACCACAGACACACACATCTCTGAGTGCACACACACACAGTGAACTCCTTGAGACACACACTCGTCATCATCATCATCATCCTTGAACGAACACACGTTAAAAAGCGTCCAATTTGGAGAGAGGAGTTCGATTTCACAAGTGAAATTGTAGATGGGAGAAGCCAGTCAGTCTAGTTCATAGCTAAATATTTAGCAGTGTTTGCATATCCTTTACAGCACATAATTCATTAAACTGGAAATAAAATAACATTCATTACAGGTTGCATTACATTTTGTGATTTTTTTTATTTACTTTTTTTCCACAGTTGAATAAAAATCTTTTTTTCCCCAATATTTAAAATGATATACAAACATTATTTTCCATTCATATATAAGCAAAATATTTAGCAGGGTTTGCATGTCCTTTAAATTCATTAAAATAGAAGTAAAATAACTTTTTGAAAAGCACCTAAATAGTTTTGCATTTTGTGTTTTTATTTATTTTTTCAGTTGAATAAAATATTTTTCATACATACATTTTATCATTGAAGATTTCTTTAAAATAGGGTAAAAATCTCATCTCGTTTTTGTAAACCCAATCTCGTGTCTCGTCTCGTCTTGTGGAGTAAGCGTCTCCTCACACCCCAAGCTGATAACATTGAATGCAAAATAAATTATTTGTTATTCTAAAAATGGTGATTAAAAAATATATATATATATATATTTTTTTTTATGTGATTCATTTAAATGGTAAATTCTTTATCCACAAATGTAGACTTAACATTTACTTTACTTTATAAAATTTTCTCCCTTATACAAGGTTTTTTTTTCAATGTACTTATTCTGTTAATGAAGTCTCTCAAAGCTGTAAAAATGTGAAAGCTCTGTTTGGCCTCTTATGAATGTCTAACATTTGTTTTTGTTTTTGTTTTGTGTTTTTTTTATTTATTCATTTATTTTTGAAATTTTTGACACTTTTTTGCTGTATTTGTAAATTACTAATCCACTAAAAAAAAAAAAAGTCAAGTTTGAGGTGCTATATATTTTATTATATTTACTGTTGTACTAAAGTCAAAAGGTAAGGAATTTATGTTATTTATTACTTCATTGTTTAAGCTACCACACAAAGTGCTCTGTTTGTGCAGAGTTGTTGAATGTTAAAATAAGGTGACTTAAATAAAAAATAAGGAATATCCTGGATCTGCTTCTTCTTTCTTTTTTATTCTTGTTTTATGTGTAATAGAAGTATCGGATCGGGATTGAGTATTGGTGGATACTCAAAATCAAATGACTCTAGGGCAAAAAATACCTGATCGAGACATCCCTACTTATATTTAGTCAGCTTTAAGATGATGTATAAATCTCGATTTCCAAAAACTGACACTTATAACTCTTCATTAATTAATAACTACACTGTTTTTTTAATATCTTGGGAAACAAGTGTATCCTAATT